TGCCATAAGGTTCTGCTTGATGCTTGTATGTTAAACTCTATCGAAAGTTATTTTGTGAGTAAAATCAAATCCGAGACGGAAAGGAAGGTGAGGAAAAAAGAGTGGATAAGTAATAAGGGGAGAGAGGAAGAGATACACAGGAAGGAGTGCAAGAAAACAGAGAAAATAAAACAAAATGGCAAAAATAAAAGCAGAAGAAATACAATAACTCCTAGAAGTTTGCTTCCACACCCGTATAGGAGGAGAGGGCAGGAAAACAGAGGACATAACGACAGCAAAAAACAGACAACCAAATTAAACATCAAAAAAGCTTCCAGAGCAGAACATATCTCTTAGATATCCATGTTTTTGGAAAGAAAAACTTATGGTGATCACAGTATTATTCATGGTGTTATATATCTGTAGCTGCAGCTTAGTATTTAGTAGTGTTGCGCGATACCATTTTGTAGCCCCGATACCTGGCTGTGCAGTATTGGCCGATACCGATACTCTCTGTTTAAAAGTGAGGTGTGTGTGTGTACATATGAAGAACGGCATACTACTTGGATGTAAAATAATTGCCATCATTGTTTTTTCAATCTGCTGCCTACCTTTGTGGAGCAGGAAAAAGACAAAGTGATCCAGTAGAACTTTTCATTGCCTACCTGGAATGGGTGACAATAGTTGAATAAATTTTTTGCTCTCAAAATGGTATCGGTGCGCTATTTGTTGGTACTCGCCGATACCACCATTTTAGTGTTGGATCGGTGCCCCGCCCAATACTAGTATCGGTACTACTCTAGTATTTTAGTATTAGTGTATATCCATGAAAACCCGGACCTTACTCTCGTGGTATTTATGCATGGGCATGCTTGGGTATAAAGGATTTACAACATTTCTTTCGATTGAAAATATGCTTAACAGCAGCTGTGGGTGGCCCCGGACTTGCCCTACAGGGCCCAGGACAGAAAAAGAGGCGACCCCTTCCCAGATATCCAAAAGCACCCCAGATCACTGACTGCAGAAGGAGTGCAGGCGTAGGGATGGCCACACCCACCAGAGAAGGACAGACAAGACCACCCCAAGTCCAACTGGACACCTTAAGGGCCCAGTCCTTAAGGTGTCCAGCAGCGAGCCCAAGGGCTCCACCGGTGGCCGGTCTCAACCAAGGTGGACCCGGATGAGAGCTGAGGGGTGTGAGACCAGGGGGGTGCACCAGCACCCTGTGGTTACTCCAAGGGGCAGGCAGGCAGCTTGAGCTGGGGCTGGGATTGGGGGGGCTGGGATCGGGGGCCACCAAAGGGAGGAGGGCAGCAGCGTAGTCCAGGTCCAGCACCAAACACCGCCCCAGACCAACCTCCACCACAAGCTGTGGTGTGGTGCATCCCCAGCCAAGCCATGACCAACCTCCAGGGCCCAGTCCCATCCACAGGTGGAGGGGAGAGAACAGGTGGAAAAGACCCCATGCAAGCCCCCTTCCTGCTCGGATTTAGTGTTGTTGCCGGTTTGGTTTTCACAAATTTAATTGCTCTAAAAACAGTTTAAACAGTTTTTAGAGCATTTTTTCTGTTTTAACTTGTAGATAGAAGCGTTTTGTACTGAAGGGAACGTTCTGTGACATAAAAAGTATTGTCCTTGTTCCAAAGAACAGTTTAAACATGGACACCAACCCTGAAGCTTGTACTTATGTGGTGAAACCTGCGAGTTATTGAGTCTATATGCATTTGCATATTTGAGTTTTTTTTTTCTTACACCTTCTGCATCATTATCTTTGTCTGCGGTGCTTTTTGAGAAAAAGGTAAAAGAGAAATTTGTCTTTTGATTGCATTAAAAAAAAATCTGTTAGTTTCCTAAAAAGTTTAGATGTGCATTAGAACCAAACAACCTTGAAGTGTTACTTCTCAAATTTACTGCATTGCTTTCTCTATCAGCATCCAGTCTTCTTATCATTCCAAAACTCCACATGTCAAACTCATTGCCTTCATAATGTTTCTTTCTGTTTTCGATTGTTTCTCTTCATACAAATCTGCAAACTGCACAACAAATGTAAAAACATTATGTGTTTATATAAATAGTTTGTCTTGGTCCTCACTTCTCACATTATTTTGTCAGTATGTTGTGCTGCAGGGACAGGATTCAATGGACAGACACAAATGATGTGGTTTTGAGTTGCCGCTGAATGCATAGTGTGAACTGTTGGTGACCTCAGTGAGAAAGTAAAGCCGGTCAGGGCACAGCACAGGGATTAGAACTCGATGGTTTAATATTTACACCAGTAACCAAATGATTTAGTAAACCATCCACAGTGTCTGGATTCACAGACAGTTCCAGGTCTTCCATTGGTTTCTTTTGCAGCAGGTAGTTTGCATTCTATTAAACAACTTATATGTTATGTTGGATATTTTCTAATAGAAAAACATAATTATTAATGAGTGGCATCAGATACATATAGGTTTTAGATGCTGTTTGTGCAGAAGAGGGATTATTTTGTATCTGATTCTGGCTGCTCACAGCTGGAAGAGACAGTTTTAAGGCTGAACATAGAAACTAAAAGATTAATTTAGCGTTTCCTTTCATTGTGATCTGAATTTGTGATTTGCAGTACAAATGTGTAAATAAAAAAGTTAAATTGCTGTAAAATGTAAATCTGACTGATCTTTAAATATTTTGTGTTTAATTCACACACCTTTAAAATGAAAGGTATTTATTTAGTTGGTTGCTTGGTTATGGTAGTATTTCAACACTATTTGAGTACTGGGGGTGTGTTGATACAGGACTTTGCTGCCTTGATAGCTGTGTGACAGGAGGTATAGGCTGTTTTTGCCATGGTCTGCGTCTTCCAAGGATGCCGTCTCCCTGGACTGGATCGTTTGAAGCGTGTGAAAATAAGGAGCCCGGAAGAGTTTTGGCCGTGAATTCAAACAGGTCTAGCCTACCGTTGGCTTTCACAAAGCAGGAAAATAATGAAAACAGAACTTTTCAAAACTGTTTCTTTTTAATATTTTTTCTTTTTTTTTATTGTAAAGTGAACAAAACTACACTCATGTGAATAAATAGTGGAATAAAAGTGACAACCACCGAGAGCATGAACAAATAAAAGCCAATGTAATGATAAAAACCTTAGTCAGTAAAATAACATTCTGCTGTCATTTTATTTTGCACATCTCTAATGTCTAATCTATTACTGTAAAAATGTCCACAGCTGTATATTGGTTATTTATTCTCCAGGTGCACAGTTTTATATTGTTAAAACACATTACAGTACAGTATTTCATTGTTTATATTTTAGCTCTTCCCTATTATGTCATTCTTAAACATTTTCCTAAGGTCCACATTTGTGTGAGTATCTTTTTTTCAATATTCTTTTATTTCCCCATTGGAGCGGAATAAAGAGATTTTCTGTTCTATAAAAGTGGTAGAAAGATACAAGTAAATCTAAACAATGAATGTATAAAAAATATATCAGCAAAATCTCTTATATTCAACAACAAAGAATACTTAAGCAAATTGTGCAAAATAGAAATGAAAAAATAAAAATCATATCAGATTTATAGTTCCCACACTGCAGATATATTAGAATCTGTCCTTAAATTACAGTCAAACTAATTTACACAGTAACAGATAAAACCTTTAGATAAATCAAACATTACCCGCCACATATCTGACTCAATAACCATGAGGACAACTATTTTCATTACCGTAATTTCAGACCGAACTGTTCAAACTTGTATTATATTAAACTGAATTTGTTGGCTGCATAACGATGAGTCTTGGAATCCGACCAGACCTCGGCGCCGCGTTATCCCGTCATCGACCTTTGAATCTGGCCTTCAAAGGACACATCCCATAAATTCGAACACAGCCATAGTCTACAGTCATGGAGTTAACTAAAAAAAAGGCGTGGTATTTGGTGACTTGTACACTGTGTGACACACGCTAATATACACACCTTCATATGTTTTGTTTTTTATCATTGAAAGCTTCAGCCATTGGCTACATTTAAAAAGACTTGTGTTTTCTACAAGGCTTTAGTTTTTGTTTTGACAATTATTATTCATGTGTGTTTCCACCCCGTTTTTGCTTCTGTTGTCATTAAACTGTCACAAGTACAGAGCAACAAAATGAACTCTCCTCTTTTAGCCCATCCCCATCCAAGGGGATGGGGTAAATGCAGAGCCCGGGGAGCAGTTTGGGGTTACGTGGCTTAACCCCACACCGTTGAGCTGAATGCTGTCTGGACTTAGCATAGTAGTCCAGGGCTCCTTTCCTACCCTGGATAGTGTTCTTATTGTTGACCCTAAGAAAGGTGAAGGGATAGGAGCTAAGATGTTGCACTTATATTTCCAAGTTAATTTGTTTCTATCAAAGTGGTTCCGATTTTTTTGTGGAGGCCGCCCTTCGTCCTGCTGCAAAAAGCTCCCGTTGATCCAGCAGTAATGTTCTTGTGGATTATGACTTTGATTGTAGGTTCAGGCAGAAAGCTCAAACTTTATATTTAATTATGTCTCTGTGTCACAGAACACGTCCATTTCCGGAATGATAGGACGGCCAGGATTTTCAGATGGTGGTTAGAAATCCAGACGACTGTTTAAACAGATGTGAATGTGGGACCTTCAGGCATCCAGAAATTAAATCCAATGATGGAGCAGACCTGTGGAAGACTGAAGCTCTCTTCCTGTTGCCCTGGCTTATTTACTTTGAATGTTCCATTATGTCGCTCATGCGAGCAGTGTGCCTCCATTTAACTCAAATGTTTTGACTCACTCAACCCATCACAACCTTTCAAAGCCATGATATTATCATCTTTTTTTTTTTTTTTTTTTTTTATAAATGTTTCATAGGAACAGTTTAGGGTTAGGAAAACTTACAGGAGGAAACATCCATGTGATTTTATAAAGCGTGTGTAAATGTCTGACTTTACCTGTTGCCCAGACGAAAGCAAGCATGATTAAAACATTAGCTACATCTTGCATAAGATCCTCACTCATGTTTTTTGTCTTTGCCTCCCTATGAATGCACAGGTGCAGTTTCAGAAGGTCCAGCAGCTTCGTTTGTCGCAGTCACGGGCGCCGTACTACGGAGGCTCCCTTCCAAATGTCAACCAAATTGGCAACGCCAACGCAGATTTTCAGGTTAGAAAATCAGAATGTGTTTGCAGAGGGTGAAATGTAATGTTCAGAGCTGAATCAAGGACACGATTTTCTGAAGGGTATTGTTCAGTATATCAGCCAGCTCAAAGACTTTCATCTTGGCTTTAGTTTAATCCACTGCAGTTATTTTTTTTTCTTCTGATGATTTTAGAACCTTTAGAACAGTCTATTGTAAAATCAGATGAAGAATGTTTTTCTTATTTCAGCTGTTTGCATATGATAACATCTACATCCCTGTAGCTTCATGAATTAACCAGAGGCTATTTTTCCTTTTATGCATGGTACTGGAAATTAAAGCAAGTTTAACTATGTATTTTAACTGGATAGAAGGGATAAATGAAAGACATGAAACATGGAGGTTTTCTTTTGAATCTTCTTATCTTGAGGCCATGTTCTGCCAGATCAAGGCCTCTCTCATTTTTTTCTCTGCCAATTCTGACCCACAGCCTCTCCAAATGTCTAATTCTACTTTAAGAGCAGCTTTTTACAGTGAACTAAACTCACATGGAGTTATTAAGTTAGCTAGAAACTATGAATAATTTAGATGTTTGAGATCTAAGATCAACATATAAATCCTCAGCAGTCCTTAAAGGTTTTCACTCCTCTTTTTATTTTAAACATTTTTCTTAGTGTTTTTTCTTAATTTTAAACATCTTTCTTAGTTCTCTGTTTTCCTTTATTTTAAACACTTTTCTTAGTTTAGTTTTTTTTTTCTTTATTTTAAACATTTTTCTTAGTTTAGTGTTTTTTTCTTTATTTTAAACATTTTAGTTAGTTTTGTGTTTTCCTGTGGTGGCAGAGTTTCTCTGTTGTACAGCCCTCTGTATCTGTGTCAGCTCTCTCAGGAGTGCTGGGAGTCTGTCCAGGTAAAGGCGGCCTTTTTTTTTTTCTTTTTTTTTTTTTTTTTTAAGAATTGTCGTTTTAAGTAGAGCTGGGATTGATTTCTGAACTTAAATCCTGAAATCAATCCAATCCAAGTGGAAGAAAGCTCCTCAAAGAGTCCATTTATCCTTTCTTCAGACTCTCACAAAAAAAAAAGAAACAAAGTGGTTGCTAGATTTGTTAGTATAAGCACCCTGCCTAATGCGGTACTCTATGGCTCCTTAAATAGAAATGAAAAATCTATGTACCCCAAATGTTAATTACAGAATTTTAAAGATATTTCTGTATTATCCTTGTTATTTCTGATATTATTTGTAGCACCAAAGAGAAACAGCCTGTATCTTGTTGGAGTGTAAATAGAAATGCATGTGGGATATTTGTTTACCGTAGTGACAACAAAAACTTCTTTGAAAACTTTTCCTCAGGGCATTAAAGAGCCTTTGATGTGTCCGATTGATGATTTGTAATAATCCAAATCAGTATTAGAGGGAGAAAAACTTCACGTGAGCCATTGATCTAAAAAGGGGCTTTTTAGCTGTCATGGTTCAAGCTTTAGCTGGCAGGAAATTAAGTCAATACATCCTTCAGACTGGCTGGTAGCAAGGATAGTTGGATGTGTTGACCAGGCCTCAAATAACTAACCTTTAATGCATTAACATAAGAAGTGCTGCAAATAATGATTATTTTGCAAATCAATCTGTTGAATATTTTTTTTTTGATTAATCGATTAATAATTGGATAGCCAATGGTTCCTGTTTTACCTAACCTTTAGCCAAATCCAAAAAGGCAGCATAGCAGCCGCCTTAGAAACTGAACGCTTCAGCCACGGCCATACAACCAGTGACGTCACACCAGGACAAGAGACGGTGTTTTGTTTTTTATCAATACATTTCTGCTGTTATCTGTAATGACACAGACGTGTAGTATTGCATTGCTCTCAAAAGCCTAGTGGGCTTTTAGAGTGGCCTAAAAAGAAGCCTGAAGTCTAGACGGATTTGGAAGAAAAGACAATTCAGCTTTCTACAGGAAGAGCGACGCGGTTGCAAAGTAAAACGGATTCACTTTGGGGCAAAGGCAAATTATAAATCTCTTAATCGCAACAGATTGATTGACTGCCTCAATCCGTTTACCCCCGTTTTGCTGACAGCACACATATAGCAGGCGGGATAGACTGGGACATAAACGATCAATAAAACATTTCAATAAACAGAATACCTTACCTACTATAGAAGTACAGAGGAACAGAAAATTAAATAGCGATTATCTTTTAGCCTAAAAAAACCCAACAACAACAAGGGACAGAGCAGAAAAAGCAGAGTTTATCACTCTACCCTCTTTATGAACAAAAAACCTTCAAGAAGCTTCAAGAGGCAAGACAAATTTATCTGTTTAGGACAATTAAGTGCATGGACAATTTAAAGTGCTTTATATGATTTAGATGATAAAATAGAGGAAAAATAAAAGCAGAATAAATTCAAATAAAGATAAAACATGTAAAAGAAATAAAACAATTGGTACACAACCTTAAACTAATAATGCCTCAGTAAACAGTTTGACTTCAGCAGTCAAGGTGGTTCTAAACAAATTGGTTTTCAACTTGGACTTAAAAGAATTCAGGCTCTCAGCACTTTTACAGATCTCTCTCTGAGAATCACCTCACACTGTCTCACCCAGTAGCCTACCTATTTAAGGCACCCCACAACCTTTATTGCAACATTTTCATTTTCTTTCAACACAGTTTTCATTATATTTTAAATAAAAAAGTTCTCTTTCTTCTCTAGTAGGAGTATGCTGCTACAGGCTGGTAATGAAGTTAGGCTTTGCGTTGTAGTTACACAGTCTATTTTTTATGTGTTTTTATAAAATATGTTATAACCTGACCCAGTCAATTCAGGATATTGTTTCAATATATGGGGCACTGGGACAGAAGTGGAAAAAATCTGTACAGATGGGGATCTACTTGCGCTGTGCAGAAGAAACTCTCTAAGAACTGAAGTCAGTGCAACCAGTGTGATCTCTGCTTTAGTGTTATGGAATCAAAAACTCTAGAATAGCTCTGCTGTATTTTAACTTTGAATAATCTTTTAAGTCTTTTTTTACCATGGAACATGTAAATTACTTACAGTAGGTCTACAACAATTTGGCAATTTGGTTAATAGGCATTATTATCATGATTATTATTTGCAATAGATAGCTGGCAAGGCTCCAGTAGTATCTATAAATAGCTCAACATGTGCATTAACAGCTGAGACGTATCGGGCCCAGCTTTTAACAGACTTTCACCTACCATTGTGAAAGTCTGTAGATGTCCAGAACTATCTCCTTCCCGTTTCCTCGTCATCCCCATTGGCTCCGTCTTTCTCCTCATTTTCCTACTCTGGTCAAGCTTCAGGCTCAAAAATAAGAGGCAGCAGTTGCACGTCCTGTTCTTCAAGTGAATTCTACTTGTGATCCGTTGAAATACCCTCACTTAATGAAGATACATAAGTGTTTTCTGTGGCTATCCATTTCAGTGTTTATATCAGCCATGTTGGTTAGCCAATGTCCCGGAGTGACGTCACACCTCCGGGTTTGGTATGACCAAAAAAACAGTAGCAGAAAAAAAGGTTTTTTTTTTTTTTTAAGTTTTTTTTTTTTTTAAAGGTATTTTAAATCACTAGTATCTGAATATCAGGAGACTATAGCTTAGACTTAAATTTTAGTCCAATCCACCTGGAGTGTTTGTTGCTGGAAAGTTTAATATCTGTCTCATTTGGTGGGAGATCACAGTACCAGTTAAAGTCCCAGTAACTTTTAGTAAGCTGCTTTTTTTTTTCTTCCATGCCTCCCGACCAACAAGCTGGTATGTCGATGGTATCTACATGGTCGTTATGGACACTTGGTAGCCCCCAATCTGCCACAGTTGGCTGCAGATCTGTAGCGGCCACCCTTGTGTATTTTTTTCCATCCTCCTCAGTGTGGCCAGATAAAGTCAGGCTTCTCTAAAATCCACTAAACTACAGATTTTGGCATATTTTTTTTTAGTTTTTTTAGCATCTTTTATCTCCCTTTTTTGAAAGGAATCCAATCTAGTTTTTCCCATTTTGAAAAGTGGCCAATTGAAATGTCTACAGGGAGCATAAAGTAATGCTTTTTAATCTGATCAACTTAAAAAATAAACAGAGTGAAAAAAATCCCTTGTGGAACTGTTAGTGGTGCCAATAAATGTGAAGCTTTTTAATTTGGATAAAAATGTGTCAACATGGGATTTTTCTCCACTCAATTTAAAGTGGGTCTAACTCATCGGTGGTGTGTGGTGTAAGCAACATGATCTTGTCTCCTTCACAGGGCTGCTTCCCCTCAGGGTTGGACTCAGTCAGAGGGACTCGCCACCATGGGCTGGTGGAAAGAGTCCACAGGGACCGCAACCGCATCAGCTCTCCTCACCGCAGACCGATTGACAAGCACGGACGGCATATATCCTTCCATACGTCGTTCAGGGACAGTTGGAGGCTCCTCTAACACATTTCTGTCTGATGCAGAGGTTTTCATGATGAGTAGTGAATCTGATGCTTCCATGTGGCTGGTTCTGTTCGATTGTGTTTACAGCGTGCTCCGCAGTGTGACGACAGAGGTGTAGGCAACTGTATTGTTGCCTCAGGAGTGGAATTAGTCATTAGGATAAATGTGACGCAGAAACACTGTTCTTACTATTTTAGGGCGAGAGGAGTATATTCAAAGCATGTTATGAATGCATGGCAGATAATAATGTAGTGTAGATGAATGTAAAGCAGTGGAGCCACAGCATTTATTATTTGTCATGAAGTCTTCCTCATCGCTTAACCTTTCCTCATGCTTTCCTTCTGCTGTTAATAGTTGACTGTAGCTGAATATTATGTGCTTGTTTGGATTTTATAGTTATTCACTGAGCAGTTTAGATTTGAATCGTATTTATCCTAATAATTTCTATTGGGACCAGTTTTTTTTTTTTTACACATGTTGTCCTACCAGCTGAATATAATGAGGATTATCATTTTAGCAGTAATACTGGTATTATTTTCGTTTTTAATTGAGACTATCTTGTGCTGCTCCAATTTCCTTTGGAGACAGCCTTACAAAAGCAATTTATCCCTCCCCTGTTTAATGAACCAAATCTTTGTGTGTTCAGTTTAATATCAATGTCTGCTATGACCTTGTCAATGATCGGTGTATATGTCAGCGCTACCATTGGGGATGGGTATTTCTGTTCTGTTTAAGGTTTATTGAGATTCCCAGCCTGATCCCTATTTAATGGTTGGATATTTGCCCAAAAAAAAAGCCCAGGTGTTTTATGGATTAAAGGCGTGCTTATATTGTTTTGTTCTGTGTTTGGCGAAAGCTCAGCAGTGGTATTAGTCCTCTCCACTTTGTGTTTGTATATGTTTTAGGTGCTTATCTCATGTTTCGTGTTGAATGTGATGAGTGGCAACAGGCCTCCAGGCTTCTAAGATCCTCCTCCCACTGATAACAGTTGAAGTACAATTTGAAGAAATGGCTCACAGCTTATTTTATTGGTGAAGTTTCTCCTGGTGAACAGCTCTTTTTTTTTTTATTAGTGAATTGGTGCAACTAGCTCTGTAACAGTTTAACTTTAAGCAAGATGAAACATGTTTTTTTCCATTCCATACCAGGCTTCCAGAAATCATTTGAATAATTCTCCTGAACTATTATTAACTAATTATGAAGAAAAACTTTAGTACAGTAATATTTGTGGGCAATAAAACCTAATTGCACTGATTTTCAGCCATATAGTGTTAAAAAAAAATCTAGAAACACCCTCCAATATTTTTTTCCTGAAGACCTCAAAGGAATTGTTTTTTTTTATATTGATCATTTCCTTAACACAAACTCACATGGAGAGCTCACCATACGGACCAGTGTACCTGTCACCCCCACCAGACAACAGCTGGAGAAGGTAAGACCTACTTTAAAGTTCCTGACAGTAGCTTTATGGTGTTTATTCTGCTTCCTCTCACTGCCATATTTTGGACCAGGGACTGTTTCCACCTGCCAGCCTGTTTCCTGTATCACTCTTCTCTGTTCTGATCCAGAAAACAGCCTTTCTTAATGTGAAGGAAAGTCTGTGTGAAAGGTGGAGCTGTTGGTATTTGTTGTTTCTACTCAAATGTTTAAAGTGTGAGAATGCTGTGTTTACCACATGGAAGCTGAAAGTGTTTGACAGGTAGCCTTTTCCTTTAAAGGTCATGCCCAGCAGCAGCTTCCCCAGTGTTGGGGGATTTGGTCCTGTCACTGCCTCATAGTGCGGTATCTCTGAACTACATGAGATGTGAAATTGTTGAACACCATGCTCAACGAGGTGGCCCTGTTAGACACCAGCTTTTCTCTCTGTTCCAGCTCTTATTGTGCCCACATAGAGCAGCAGTGTATTGGTAGGGAGCTTTCCTCTGTGTTTACAAGGGAGTGAATTATGGGCCTGTGATAAAAAGCCGGGCCAAGCTCCTCCCGTTCACTCCCCATCAGCCTTGCTTTGTCTCCACTCTTGTGTTTAGTATGCTGCCTTGGCCAACTGCCAATCACCCTGCCTTGTCTTCATCCACGGCGCCGACCCGGACGCAGGCCAAGCTCAGCACTGAGCGCATTCTAACAGCTTGTACTGTAGAAGTAAATAAGGCCTACACCCTCTCATTGTTGACGACACAGAACAGGTTGGCTGACAAATGTCTTTACGGAGCTATCAGACGTCAGCGCTCTCAGGCATAGTGGGATCCCGTGAGACATGTAAAGCACTGCAAGCTGATTTGTTTATTTACAAAGGCAGGGTTCATACGCAGTGTTATAATAGATCTCTCTGTCTATCTATTGGACTGGACAATAATTCAATATCAATGTATTTCACAATATAATTTAATTCAATATCTGCCATGACTTTCAAACACGTGTCCAATATTTCAATATACGTCATAGTCTGTGAATGCAGATATTGTCACAGACTGAGGTTCCAGTTTTTATGTTTTTGTTATTTGAAGCAAATATTTCTAAAATGTAATGTTGAATGAGTTACATAACACAGTAAAAATATTTGTCATAGATGTGCATCTGTTGTGCACATCATTGGCAAGCTGAGGCTTTTTTCTAATTTCTATTTATTGAAAACAAAATAATATTGCGCCCTGCGATGGTCTGCCAACAGCTGGAGATGGGAACCAGCAGCCCTAGTCACCCCAGCAGGGTTAAGCGTGATGGAAAATGGTAATGCTGTGATATCAGTTTTGACCATATTTTCCAGCCGTTACATAGTTATATATAGATGTATACATATATGTATACATTTTAAAGAAGTAAGGTAATTATATATTTTATTAACCATTCTTGGAGACTTATTTCATGCTGCTGCTACAGAGGTCGTCTACCAACTTTTTAGTGACCTCGGATTAATCTTTATTACTAATAATTAGACAAAGAAAAAGTGACTTTTTCCCCCTTACTCCCTAAAGTATTTAAACTACGGTTGAACGATTAAAAAAAAAAGGTTATTTGCGATTTTTTTTTTTTTTTTAAACCAACGTTGCGATTTTATTTAGATTTTCCTTTGCACTGACCACATACTTCTTCACCCTAGGGTTTCGTTTTTTTTCTGATCTTGAAAGGTTGCCTGTCCAGAATTCATTATTGCAGGTCTCACTGTAACTTTTGTGTGTGATTCTTCAATTAGAAAATTGTGATTTGTTATTTTGCAATTATATTGCAAAAGCAATTGATTTAATAATTTCAAACTTTAAATATGAAATGTATTTATAAAGTGCCATCTCCGGGATGACCAAAAAAACGTAAAGGCTGCGTTCGAATTTATCGGATGCATCCTCCGAAGGCCCAATTCGAAGGCAGATGACGTCATAGCGTGGCGCCGACGTCTGGTCAGATTCGAAGACTCCTCATTATGCGGCCAACAAATGCGTCCATCTTTTTGCCCGTTTTGAAGGACGGGTCCGGTGTATCCTATCTAGCCTTGGTTATGCGAGACCAAGCAAGCCAGCTGCTCTGTGATCAGAGGAAAAAGTAACATGGCGCCAAACTGTGGTGAATATCAGTTAAGTTTATAATACAAGTATTTGAATAGTTCAGTCTGAAATTAATAAAAATAGTTGTCCTAGTGTTTATTGAGTCAGATATGTGGCGGGTAATGTTTGATTTAATTAAAGGTTTTATCTAAATGGGAAATAAATGGGTTTTGCTGTAATTTATGGAAAGATTCTAATATATTTGCAGTGTGGGGACTAAACATCTGATAAGATTTACATTTTTTAATTTCTATTTTGCTGAATTTGCTTAACTAAGTATTTTTTGTTGTTGAATTGAAGAGATTTTGCAGATATATATATTTTTTATACATACATTGTTTAGATTTACTTATACCTTTCTTCCCATTTTATAGAATGGATTAGAAAATCCCTCTATTGTCCCACAATGGGGAAATTCCGGTTTATACATTCATTGTTTAGATTAACTTTCTATCCCTTTTATAGAACAGAAAATTTCTTTATTGCCCTCCAATGGGAAAATTCACAACAGCAAAAAGATTATTGAAAAAATCGTCACACAAATGTGGACCTTAGAAAAATGTATAATAATAACATAATAGTGTGGAGTTAAAACATAAACAATAAAATACTGTACTGTAAAGTGTTTTAACAATATATAAAACTGTGCACCTGGAGAATGAATAACCAATCTACAGCTATGAACGTTTTTACAGTAATAGATATTTGAATATGTTGCTGCTATATTATTAAAGCATGTTATTGAAGAGACTAAGGTTTATATCATTACATTTGCTTTTATTTGTTCATGCTCCTGGTGGTTGTCACCTTTATTCCACTCTGTATTCTCATGAGTGCAGTCTTTGTTGAACTTTACAATTAAAATATCCCCTAAAAAATGTAAAAAGAAACGGTTTTGAAAGTTTGGTGTTCTGCTGAAGGGTAGCCCTGTTTGAATTTACAGCCAAAAGTCTTCTGGTCTCCTTATTTTCAAGGACTTCGAAGGATCCAGTCTAGGTAGACCGCGTCCTTGGAAGACGCAGCCCATAACTTCCAACGCAGCCAAAATGAAACCACTGTTATTCATGCATTCACTAAAAAAAGATCTCTCTGAAAGTTTAATAGTTTAGATTTTAACACTATTTGAACCGTTAGGTTTGATATGAAATAAAATTAATGTGGTTGGTTGCATATTACCTGCATATACACATAGAAAGTTGATCAAATATGCATCTAAGTGTTTGTATAATCTTTGGAAGGATACAATATAGCAGACACAGTTTATTTGTTATGGCGGAACACATTCAGCAGCATTGGCTGCGTGTTTCCTCTCTGCTCATTAGAAGCTTCCTGCTGTCGTCTCTTCAGTTACTCAACATTTATTTTCATGTTCTGTGACGATGGTTTGCAGAAAACTTCTCAGAATGTTAAAGCATCCAGTTAATTCTCAGCTAACTTGTAACTATCAATTTTTGACCACTATTGGCTTTGAGACTGTGAAGCTGTCCTGTTTGTTTTTTACACTCTGGCTCTGACAGAGCCAACCGGCCACTGGAATCAACCTTCACTGACATATTTATTCTGCTTGTTAACAGATCAATTAAGAAAAAAATGGCAACAAATCTTGCTAAAGCATTGGAAGATACAAAATGAATTAAATTGTACAATTTTAGTTGGACATTTTAGATGGATTAGATATTGATCCCACTATGAGCACAAAATGGACTGCAGAGTTTTTCTATCTTGGTTCTAAAACAAGAAAATACTTTAACAATAATAAAAAAAAAGATTTCTGAAGATATTTTAAACCTTTATTAGAACTAAAGTAATCAAACTTTTTGCTCACTTTGTAAAACCGTTTGTAAAGTCCATGCTAAAATTGTAAAAAGTAAATTCCTATGAATGACCAATCCTTTTCAGAAAATATGGAAAATACACCATAATATCATCTGCTATATAAAGACTGTAGTTTAACAACAGTTTTGGATCTTTTGAGGCTGAAATAATAAGTAATACAAAATACCACTTTATCCTTAGTTATCACCTACATTGCCTCAAATAAGCTTTCAAGTAAATTAATCTGAAAAAAAGTTTTATTTGGAAATATTAGAAGTTTAAATCATAAATTAAATTGTATTATCTACTAAAGAAAACATCCAGGACGAAGGGTCATTTGGTTCTTTAAACACAGATGTAACCCAAAAAACATTAAGCAAACATGCATGACCTTAAATGTGCATTGTGCAAGCTTAAAAGTTTTTTTTTTTTCTCTATATATGGGCCGACATGTAAAATGAGCTTTTCACCATTTGCCCCGGTTGCCTCTCTAAGCTCCAGTAGTCAGTTGGTGAGATAATGATTTGGGTCAGATTCTCTGGGTGTGACATGATGTGCTCTCTTGTTTACGTAGCTACTTTGTTGAGTCTCCACCATAGAGAGAGAACAAGGGAGACGGTTTAGGAAGATATTGGATTATTTTCCAACAAGGAGAAAGCTGAGATCTGCCTTTGAAATGGCCCTATTTTTAATAAAAGGTCTCCATTCAAAATCACTTAGATATCTATAACTTTCTTACCCGAGATGACATATTTCTTAGTGAAAGATTGGTACAGACTGTTGTGCTTTCCCATATGCATGTGCACAAAACTGGTGTCATTTTAACTTGTTGCCAGAGGAGGCAAATGTCTGGAGCTTGCACTGTGCTCCTTTACATGCATGTTAGGTTGTAAACATTCATAAAGACAAAAAAGATTAGATTGTTTAATTAAACGCTCAAGTGATACTGGATCCAGTGAACACATGGAAGATTTTAAAGAGCTATTGTTTGTAGCTGTATTTAAAGAAAGAACGGGATATGGGGCTCACCTAAATTTACATTTCTATGTGTCCAAAATACAGCAGATATCAATTTGCTACA